GTGCCAAAAGTGGTTTGCACGGTTTAAAAGCGGCAATTTTCGACTTAGATGACGGACAGCCAAAAAAATTTCATGACGAAGTATTGAAGACATTGCTCTACGCAGATGCATGCCAGACACGAGAAGAGTTAGGAGTTGATCAAGCAACCGTTTCCAGATGCTTAAAATCATTAGGATTCATTCAGAAGCTTGGAAATTGGGTGCCTTATGAATTAGCCAAGAGACGTCGAACGTCGGATCTGTATGTAGGAAATGTTGCTTCAACGTCATAAAAAGAACTAATTTTTGCATCGGATTGTCACTGGCGATGAAAAATGGATTCATTATGATAACCCAAAGGGCAAGGATCGTATGTGAAGCCCGGCCAACCATCGACATCCACGGCAAAGCCGAATATCAATGGTGCCAAGGTTATGCTATATATTTGGTGGGATCAGAAGGGTGTGCTCTATCATGAGCTATTGAAATCGGGTCAGACGATCAATGGGGTCTCCAACGAAAACAATTAATTGGTTTGAAAAAGGTCATCGCGAAAAACGACCAGAATTTGCGACCAGACACGAATAAATAATTTTTCATAATGACAACGTTCGGCCACATGTTGTAAGGCCAGTTAAAAACTATTCGGAAAACTGTGGGTGGGAAGCTCTTACGCCCAATAAAATATACTTGTATTATAATTTTATTTTATTTTGATTTTTATTTAATCCCTGAATTCCTACATTGTAATGAAAATTATTATATAATACATAATAATTATATATATATAATATCATAGAAAAACAAACACGGAAAACTCAAATTTAATGGGGAATGTATGTTATTGTTCGAAAGAACACTTTTTGGCATTTTTTTAAGGTTATCCCGGCTCGAGCATTTCGACTGGTAACTGCCCAATGGCCTGAATCGAAGCGGGATACTCCGCGCAGACTTTAGACTTTACATATTCCCAGAGTAAAACGTTCAACGGTGTGATATCACACGATCTTAGTGGTCAATCGAATGCTCCAAAACGTGAAATTATCTGCTCACCGAAGTATTCTCTCAATGATTGATGCGATGTGTGGGAAGTGGCGCCGTCCTGTTGAAATCAAATGTCGCCGAGATTACAAATAGTCATCCGACTCATGGAGCGCTATCGACCGCCATTGACGGTTACGTTCTCACCGGCATAATTTTTGAACAAATTATGGACCGATGTTTCCACCGACCTACACAACCACACCAAACTGTAGTTTTTTCTGGATGAAATGTCAGCTTTTGAATCTCTTCAGGTTGCTCTTTGCTCAAAAGGGGACAATTTAGCTTGTTTACAAACCCATTGAGCCAGTAATGGGTCTAATAGCTGAACTAAATTTAGCTTGAAAACGTCGGATCTTGTTGGAGCAACGCCATGTCACTTGGGTAGGCTCCTTTCTTGCACACGCGGTATTTTGTACGCTTTCAATTTAAGGCTTCGACATATAATACATCAAACCGAGCTGCTGCAAACGGCCGGATCGTCTCCCTATATGGTCTTAGTGTACACTTTCAACTACGCTACGCTATATTTTTTTTACTGTGTGCTGGACGTGATCTATTCGGTCGAATATTATCTAATAGTGAATGCTTGGCCTGAAGATGGATGATGGTGTTGCGAATATTATGCACAGTAGGCCGATTATATACTATATTTGGCGCTTTGTGGCCGCTGAAGCGGTTTTCCACCGAGCTTTTACTTCAATTTGTGGTTTTTGCGTATTCATTTTTTTCCAACAAAATGGAGGGACTTACAGTTTATACTAACGTCTAATGGTTTTTTTGGGAGGAGCTTTATTTCATGTCAGAAATACACTCGGAGGGGTTGACATTCCCTGCCGAGGGATGACCGAAATTAGAAAATTTTAATTAGTTTCTTATTTAAATTAATTTTCTACAACTTTTGGATGTTGATTGCACGGGGATTCGAACCCGAGCCTTCCCAAAGGCAGTAGGCTATGCTAACCACTCGCCTACCATAGGCGGATTTTGTTGACCTTAAGGTTGAGCGAAGAGCGCGAAACACTTACCTTACAGAAAGTGAATTTCCCTAATAAAGTTGAACGATTTGGAAAGCTTTTTCAAAAGTAAGTCTTTCCATGATGAAAGGCCAAATAACATTGAACAAATGACGGCTTGACACAACTAGCAAAAAACTTAAATCTTTATAAAATACATTTGGCAATTCCATGCGAACGAAGTGGCGGGTAAAGTTACACCGATAAGAATAGCTGTAACCGGCAACCGCAGAGTAATTGCGCAGCGTACATACCTACATATGAATATCTAAATCATACTTATTATCGTCAATCTGTCGGTGATTATTTATGCGTAAAAAAGGATTATATGCTTTCCGACCAAATCGAATTTTGTTCCTAATCCTCGGTTCGTTTTCGATAAACAAAAAAATTTACCAAATCCCAAATGAACCTTGCATGCTTCTTCCCACATGCATCATGCATTTTTGCTGTATGCATACAATTTATTTGAACAATGTGCTTATGTGTATACATACATATTTACATATGTACATATGTACACATTTAAGACAATGTCGATCGAAAAGTGAACATCCGTTAAACGTGTTTAGCATGCCAAAACATTTAATGCAATGTATTTCCTATATAAAACTTTTAAACATATTTACGGTGATACAAAATCAAACAATTTACCTACACAACAACTGCAACTGTACAGTAATCTAATCAAATTCTAAGCATGTTTTCATCACTGCCAACGTCGTCTTCCTCTTGCTCCTATATATATATGTACTCGTATGTGCGCAGATAACTAGCAAATGATTTGAATTAAAAACAATAAGTAAAATATTTTATTTACAACAAATATGTTGTAGGCATGTGATAATATGACTAATTGTTAATTGACAATTTACATATGTTTGCATTAAGTCTTTGCTGGAACTCAACTTAAGTTTTCTAGAAATTTTGCTTTTAATTCAATTAAGTAGTAAACAAACAAATAAATTGTTTTAATTTCTGCGCATTTAGCGTACGAATGCATGTAGATATGTATAGTAAGCATTATTGTATTTCACGTATCGTAAGTACAAGATATGTATGTAAACATATAAACAAAAAACTTGAAATCAATAAAGTGAAAAGCGTATTTATTGGAGAAGTTGACATTTACGGCCGTGAAATAAGTTGATTTTTCTCCACTCAAAACGACCTGTCATTGGTATGATTATTCAGTATATATTGTAGTATTTAAAAAGTTAGGGTATTTATTGAGGATCTTGATTATTAATCATAAGGATTCGGAAGCCAACCATTTCAATCCTCTGGCGAATCATATTAGATGCATGACCGACATCAATGTCCGAAAGTAATACAGTCAAACAAATTAAACTTAAATAATTTCCTTCTCATTATAATCCTTACAGCTCCTATATATATTCACCCAAAGGGAGCTCGTAATATCCCTGCATGTATTCATGTCCTGCAGTGACCAATCAGAGCCCATATTTATTTGGAAAGAGGTAATACTTTTTAGCAGCACATTTCTTGTGATCTCATTTTGGCCAGGTTTTCCCCAATATGCGGTCGGTTGTAGTTTTTGTAGCAGCTTGCAAGCGGCAAAATATATACGAGCTCGTTCTTTGTCGAGAAAATTCTGCTTTGTCTTATCCTCCCAATCAAATTTTCATTTCCCATCATTATTCCTCTGAGCAGGAACTCACCAGGGAGACAGTCTGTTTTGTTTGACCATCTCTTGTTGAGATCGACGATAATCCAGGGCCATTGTGTTATTTATCGTAAGCGAACCCAGTGTTTTTACTGCTGTCTGACTATCATTGAAAATAAAGATATCCTTAACCTTAAAGCTGGCTTCGATTTGCATTAATATTAATAGCAGATATCACCGCCTGAATGACACTGTAATAGTTAGGTAGCCTGAAAAGGAGTTCTATAGGAGGAAGGTTTCTTGAGAATATAACAACGCCATCCGAGTCCATGCCTGTTTCCAGGCTGTAACCCCTAGTGTAGTAATCATACTTCTATTCTTCCCTGACATGGATTTGTGTTCTAAAGTCATACTCAAATAATAAAGTTTAGCCACATCTAAGCAATCATAGTAATAAAAATATGCTGATTGATTTAAATCCCTTAAACGTTATACCGCTATTGATATCTGCTGATATATGTTTGTATGTATGTTCCACCAAGTCCAGCGACATGATTTGTAGTTTTGCATCTAGTGCACCATTTGGCGTGCCCCTTAGTGTATCACTGATAAAAATAAATTTTGCTTATAAAATAAGAATTGGAAGGCCACTACACAATCGCTCCGTGCAGATCCCACTACTGACACATTAATCCAGCGGAAAATCCTGGGGATGGTGTTTAAGCGGAGAAATCATACCAGTTCCTAAGTTGCCCGAAAACATCAGTAAAGTGGAAACATAACAATTCCCACCACTTTGTACTATTAACCAAATATTTGTTATGCTTTACCTCCTGCCCGTCAGTAGTTTTGGACAAAGGTATTTTCATGGGAAGCTTTTATTTTCTTGTATGAAATACACAAGGAAGAATTAGCAAATCCTGTGGTAGAATTTTGTATTGTATTATTTTTCGCATCGTAAAAATGACTTAGTGATAATTTAAGGATTTTAATATTCAGAGTACTTATTTTATCGATATTCGATGTCGCTTAACCAGCTGCTATCGTAAACTACTGGACAAATATCTAACTAAAAATTTTTCTGTGCAAACTAAAAGTGGGTAATTCATTCTCAATTCTCTTGCGAATTACGAACAACCAAATCGATGCCTTCTCTAATTTGTATCGAAGTTTTATCGCAACAAGCGAACAAATCAAAACAAAAGAGATGAAAATCATAAAAGAAAACAATAATACACAAACATATATTTGCAACCAAGCACTATTTGTATATTACAGAAGACAAAAATTAGAAATTATTAAAGACACTGGCATTTACATTAAAAATTCCATCCAAGATTTTTTTTCAGCTTCTACTGAAAGAAAAAGAACACAATAATCAATAATGGCTTTAGAGTATTTTGCATATGTTTTATCTCAAGATGAAGATGTAGGTACCCTTCATCATTGGAAAGACGTTTGTATCGTAAGGCAGAAGATCCTTTCCTGTTGAATACAACTGGGGTTATTGATAGCCAACGAAAGGCAGAAGAATAATAGCAATATCTACAGAGAAACAGGTAACAAAATATATAACCTTTAAGTGTTTTTGCAGTTTTAACACTATTTCAATGTATAACCGCGTTGCGATACTTCGGAACTAGATGCACCAACATTCCATTTGAGCCGAATTGGTAATATCTATGAGTCAGTCTTCCGTAAGCCATTGTATGCATCGCGTAACAAATGCAATCATCCATTCGATGTTTTTTGGAGTATTGAGGCATTCATATGTCCATCATGAGCCCCAGAAATAATGAACAGAATTTTTTTAAAGCATTTCCAATTGTGTTTTTTCTTTCTGTTAGTTTTTCCATGCGCTTTGTACATAGCCGCGAAATTCAAAAGACAAAAAAAACGGAAGGGAGATATTTGACAACCTATATATTTGATGATTTTTATTTGGTATATTCTATTTGTAGGTCGCTTAGTCTAAAAATTGTGCAGTTTTAATCTGATAATCGCTGTTCTGTTATTTTATGTTCATATTGGGGATATTTTTGTAAAAATAATATAAACTCTTTGCGGTGTCGACTTTTCAGAGTTCAGAGTCATAACTATTACAAGAAATATTCAAAAAAAAAAATTGGACAGTAATTGTTATATTGGAAAAATATTTTTTTTTTTAAGTGATGATTATTTCATATTATTAATTTTTACGCTCCCTCATAACAGTTATTTTCAACGAAATTTTTTCCCGTTGCCCATTGTAGTACAGTTCATAATTAATTTCTTATCTCTTGTCCCATTGCGTCAATTGCGTTTTAATCAAATTAAATAATTTTTTTAAAATTTTTGTTCCAACGAAAATACAAGGCTTTTGCCATAATTCGGAACCAATCTATAGTGTTGTAGGGGAATTATAACTATGTTATATGCGTATGACAAAGGTTTTTGAAAGTCTTCCCTTGACAAATGGGTTAAAATAAGACATAGGTAAGAAAACTTAAACAAGTTGCTTTCACTAATACATCTTAAAAGCAACGTAAAAAAATCTAAAATAAAGGTCATGAGCAACATAAAAAAAGTATTCATTGAAAATGACTCTTATTAAGAAACGTAAAAAGTATTCCTTGGACTATGGTCAACGTTTTCGATCACGAAAATAATAATAACAGTAATTTTTGGACTCTGTTCGTTATTGCTTCTAATTTACTTGATATGTATTTAATAGTAATACATAACAGTTTCATGAATTTCTCCGCTCCATGCTATGCGTTCTCTTGGCTTTCCTGCCTTTGTGATTGTGGATTGTCCCGGCATTTTGCATTTGGGGCTGGCTCAAAGTAAAAGCTTTTGCGGTCATCGTAATTGCGCTTTTGATTCCCGCGCTCGTCCGAGGCTTTTATTCCTGTGTTTTGAATCGGGTTTGCATCTATTAGGATGATGGTTCTTCATGGAGTTGGGCCTGCGTAATCGCCAGACAAGTGAAATGATATTTCTTCCTTGCAGTTGTAGTTTACAGTTTCACAACTGAGTTCCTAGTCGCTTCGAGAGATTTTTTAATTTGTACTCCCGCCATCATAACAAAGAGGATGCCCTTGCGGGGTTAGTACTAGTATTATTATTATTTTATTCTCTTTCGATATTAAACACTTGGCACATTTATAATATATAATATATGTACATATATTGACAGGTACCACCTAAATACCGCAGACAGGCAAACCCAAGTTTAGGCAAACGTCACTCTATTCAGTCTACACCAAGCAAATTTAATGTTAAAAAAAAAAAACCAAATAAATAAAGAATAGAAAAATGTAACACAAAAAGAAAAAAATACAAACCAAAAATACTGATGGAGCCAAGAAATTGCGGTAAGTTTAGTAAACGAAAAAGAAAAATAAAAGCAAACAAAAAAAGCACAACAGCAATAAGTTGGCTAAGCACAGTGACCAATGTGCATATACCTACAAGTATACATATATGTATGTATGTATGCACATATCGGCAATGTAAATAGAAGTAAATTGCAACCAAAACAGTTTAACTAAAAAATTTTCTCACGTAACCAGCGTACGATGGGACACTAATAACAGCGGCGAATAATAACATATTTGCAACAGCAAGACCAACAACAACAACCAGCAACGGCAGCTAAGCACAACAAAGTAGCAATAATGATCGTTAAAGTAATGCAACATTATATTGCCTACAAATGTATGTGTAGTACGAAGGCAAAAAAAAAAACAAAAAACTTAACGAAACCAAAAAAATTTAATAGCAAGAATAACAACAACCTAACCATAATTAAGACCAACAATCCAAGTTGGCAAGTATGGAAAACAAAAATGCATTTAAGCCAAAGAGACCTGCTTTCAAAATTCTATCAGCTGAACCAATTGAGCGCACAAGTGGTGTAGGTTGTGAAAACATATCTAATAGCAACAACAAGAGCAATTTATACGATTCCAGCATTGACTTGAAGCACATAAATACGTGTATACCCCAATAGAATAGCTCGTAGAAAAATAATAAAAAAAACGGTGTAAAAGCTTGGCTGCAAGTGCCAATTCTTGTAGATATTTTAGTGGCGTTTACACAATATTACAACAACAACAACGACAACAACAACAACGACAACAACAACAACAACAACAACAACAACAACAACAACAACAACAACAGTAGCAGCAGCAACAACAACATACAATTTAGCCAAGGAAAGAGCTTTTTGACTTTCAATTCGGTTTAACTTGTGTTGTAAATACATTCGCCTAAATATCTCACTTTGTATTGACCACAACAGCAGCAGTAATTATGTACAATGGGAGGTGGAAAAATACCCTATGCGAAATTTTAATTTCAACAATTTATTTACTCGAGAGGATTTTGGTTCGTAACTATCGGCTTCGGTTTCCTATAAAGAACTGTACGGTTGCGTATAAAGAACTGTACAAATTAATTAATTTAGACGCAAGACGCAAAGCCACGAAGTGGAGGAGAAGCTCGGCGGAAAATTGCTTCAGTGGTTATAAAGCGCCAATATTAGTTATAGTTGGGTTCACAGAGAACTTGATAGTTTGACGGGAACTTCAGTGCTTTTGATAACATAATGGCTCTCCTAAAGGTTGGGTGTGTCGTATATCTACCTAGGAAGGATTTATTGCATACCCTAGTATACCTTCCCACAGCAAAAGTCTCCATTTCCATCTATTATCAGTTATACGCAAGTCACAGAACTAGACAATACAATCCATTACGTTTAGTACTCAGATTGTGTCACATTCTGCTTATAGAAATACTAGTGAAATTGTATGCCTTCGTAAGTTTCTTTATCAATATCGAAGATTTTTGCCGATGAAGGGCTGTATTTCAATTATTTTTCATACCCAAGTTTCCACTAATAACGTGAATACATATGTTCAAAACGAAAGGTTTCAAATTCATAATATGGGTTCAGAAATGAAAATACTATATATGTATAAGTATATTATATAATTTTGCAAAAGCCGGAACGTGTAAATACAGATAACATAGAAGGTGAAGATTTTAGAGATTCTTCAAATTTCCTGAAAAATTGGCAAATTTATGTAGGTTGTTAAAAATAAAATAATTTTATTCCAACACCTTCCAGAATTAAACGATCAATACACTGCTCAAAATATTAATGGCGAGTTCGGGGAATTAAAATGTTTCGATTTTAAGGCATATTTTCACGAAATTTGACACAGTTTCTCCAGATATTTTTGAATTATTTATTATTATTGTGTTAAAAGAGCTGAATTTAAATAGGCTTTTCCTAATCCATGTAGAAATCTAATGTGCTTGCCGAAATCGGCAGCGAAAGTATAACAAAAATTTTCTAAAATAATTCAAATAAAATCAAAACTAGAAACCCTTTGGAAATCTATACATTACAATGAAGACACTAAAGACTATATTAATTTTAAAATTACTACAATGTTTTTGTAATGTTTTGAATAAAAATAATGAATTGAATATGCAATTTTTGACGATTTGGAATTAACGGAAAAACTTGAGTAGTTTTCTCTTTGTTCTTTTTTTTCAAAACTGTGGGGATTTATAAGTCTCACAAGTTACGGAAAAGTAATTTTTTAATTAATTAATCATAAAGAAGTAAAAATGATAAGTGCAATGAGAACAAAATTTAAAGCCTGTTGAATATGTCTTCTGCTACATTCGCGAGAAAAATGTTTTCTAAAAATCTTAGAATCTTTGTTTCGAGAATCTTGAGCTTCTTCTGATAATTGTCCGATTGCTTACAGAGCGTAAGAAGCGTAGTGTTGAAGGCATGTTATACCAAGGATAACATTCAACGAAATATTTCCCTATATTTAAAGCAAAGGCACGAAACTTCTGTACGTCAATATCGTGCCCAGTGGAAACAACTACGAGTTTTGTGTGCACCTTTTTAATGAAATTCAAATCAACTTCAGTAATTGCTGCTGACATATCAGAGTTTTGAAAAAAACGCCATCATTGGAATTCCCAAAACCAGGAGGTTTCGTTTGGTCAATAATCAAACTAAATTCATTTTTAAATTCTTTTAAATGCGTGCTTTATTTTCCGAAACTAACAGTTTCTCGCTTACTGCTCGAGCTTGACACTTTGTTGTTGTTTCATGTACAATTTATACGATAGTTCGATCGAAAGCCCAAATTGGAGATTTTCTATTTTTACATCCTTCTTTATTATTTCTCCAATATTATTAAAATCTTTCTAAACAATATTTTTATGTAGATGTTTTTTCTGTTGATTTCATAGATCATAGAATTTTACAAGATTTGCTTTACCACGCTTAACTTACAAATAAGTATATGTCTGCGTATAAGGTCGAAACCGCCATATTTTCAGGCTATCGCGCCAAAAAATAAAATAAAATACCTAAAGGCGTAACAAACAAATGGAATCACTTTCAATTTACTAAATTACCTGATCAGGTCTCTGTTGAATTGCGCAAAATGGCATTGATCGTTGGATCGTCATGAAAGCCGAGTGGTGGTGCGTGAGGGTCTTGCTTCGATTCTCGCAGCCGGTGAACTGAATTTCATTTGATTTTTTTTTTTTTTTGTGAAGTAGAACTTCAATATGCCCAAAATGAACTGGTATTAAACTAGTATGAACCAGATGCATAGTAGGAGAATTATCAGCACGCAGGACATCGACGTGCTAAAAATACCAGTTGCTTACATTAAAAATCCATGAAGATGAACTAGTTGGTGTAAAAATATAAACTAGTGTATTTCTAGTTGGCAACTAGTATTTTCACCTGCAGGCTAGTGATGGAGGATTTTATCCACATTCGTTTGATACCAAAAATTTAGTTATGCCTTGAAGATTAATTTTTGAATTAATCTCCAAAACTGACACATTTTACACCAATATTCGCCGGCTAAGATATGTGAGTCGTCAAATTATTCAATTAAGCGAAAATAATAAATCTTATAATTTGGAAATTTTACGAAATGTGACACACCCTAATGTTTGTATTCACTGTACGAAGGCCACAAACCCATTGTTGTTTACATTATGGTACCGATGGCCCAAATGATGGCAGTACATACATACATACATGTACAGAAATACACCAATGGTATGCCCAACAACAGTTTCTCTGTGGTAAACGCGTCAACGGTGGCAGCAGCAGCAGCGGCAGCTGCAAGAGCAACAGCAGCTGCATGCCAAATAACTTAATGGCGTCTAATGGCAATTGTTTGTTAGTTATTTTGTTGTTGCTGTAACATGCTCTTTACGCCCCTTTGTTGTTGTTTGACTTTTTTCGAAATTTTGCTATTTTTTTTTTTTTTTTTGGGCAAATGTGTGGCGAGCGCCAGCTAGTCAATCGATTTTCATACATATGCTTATGTACATATGTACGTATGTATATCTATTGACAAGTAAATATACATTTTTGCGTTACAAACAAAATGCCGGTGGATTTGATGAGGGTTGTTGTTGGCTGGCCGCTTGACTAACTCTTTGGTATGCAATTCATTCACTCAGAGCACGGCTTTGGCAATTTTTCGCTTGAACCTTTTATGCAAACGTACCGACATACACACACATACATACTTACACATTGTTGTTGTTATTTAGTTGGCAATTTTACGGCAACAGTCTCACTGCACTTTATTGCACATGTAATTGATGTTTCAGCTGTTGTTGTTGTAGTTGTTGAATTGTTTGCTTATATGTACATGTGTATGTACATATGTATGTTCATAAAGAATGTGCCAAGGCATTTACATACTTTTCCTGAGCTCTGGCACAAATTCTGGAAATCTTTGCAGGATTAAATATATTGTATTGGATTTTCACATGCATCCACACATACACACACACACAAGCATATGTTAATTCGGATGTATGTATATATATTTATAAATGCATTAAATAATATTATACATATACAAATGTATGTGGCAATGAGTAACCGTCGCGCTTCTGGCTACCTGTTAACTTTTCACACACACACAAACACATATTAATGCTTAAGTATAAACATATTTACATATATATATATGCATTTGTTAGATTGCAAGTGTTTGCATACACTTTAGAAATCTGACATTTGACTTACGCGCGCTACTCGTGTTGTTGTGAATATTCGGTGTGAGTTAGATTAGCCAATTCTCCAAATTCAATCTTCAGCTGCCAGCTTTTTAGTTCTCCTTCACGAACCGCCAGCACTAGCTCATTTGTTTCTCAGGCTTTTATTACCGCGCCACTGATTAGCTGACCGAATGGCTTTTGTATGAATGAATCGGTGGGTCAGCAGCAGTTTAGCACTCCAGTGGCTTATGCTATTTACTTATATATAAGCCCCTACATACATATTTATATATAGATTTTTTTCTTTGCATTAATCACCTTGATCGGTGTGTGAAAGAATCTTTAATTTGCATCATTTTTTGTTTTATTCCAATTACTTTTTTTTGTTAGTTTTTAATCATTTTTTATCTTTTCATCGCCATACAGTGCAGAAAATGGATTACTTGCGATGTTCCAAAGAAACTAAAAATTTAAAAAATTTCACTTTCGAATTTAAATTTCTATGAAGTTCTTAAACTTTTAATACTTTCTCTATCATTTTTATTCTATAAAAGATATATGTGACCCATGTTTATGGGAAAATCACCTCATGGATGGTGCGTAGAAGCAAAGGTTTTTTTACATATGTAGAAATATGATGTATGGAGTATTCTATGCTTTCATCCGCTTACACAGCATCTCCAAAAAATATTGAGAAATCGTGGTAAAATTTTGATTTCGAAATCGGACGCCAGCACATTATGTAACCAAAGTTGAGAGACTGTGGTAATTCAGAAACTTACATACGAAGCATAGCTATAAAGTAAGTGTAAGAATTTGTATGGGTTTAAAAATTTTTTTCTAACCAAAAAGGTCACCTGATACTTTAGTACATAATGTAAACTATTTTTCGACATAGTCGACATTGAAGTGGTTTCCCGTCAACTCTTTCGTGTATTCTCCATCTCCTTCTCACATGCGGTTTAAAATCATTTTCCACTCTTATGAAGGTAAAGAGATAGCAATCTGAAGAAGCTAGATCTACAGAATGCCCGGAATGATTCAGGACATCCGATTTAAATCGTGACGTTGTTCGTGTGTGGACTGTCCTTCTCATGCTTTTGTCAGCTTGTCTCTCCTCTTATTCAAAATCGCATCATCGTTCGCAATGTTTTTAGGGATGCTGATAGGATTTCCCGAGTGAAGGAACTACCCTTGGTATAAATATTAAAATTATGGCTTAGTAGTTCAAAAATACAAAATTCCATGATTTTCTTGGCTGAAATTGTGGTTTTGAATTTTTCGGGGGAGTGCGGAGCGTGAAGAATGGTGACGCTGCTGTTTAGTCTAGTACGATTCAAATTGAAGTTATATTTATTTAGCACTTTGCACAAGGCGGGATTGACATTGTTCACGAAACTTGTTGTTGCAACCAAATATTCCCAACGTATTAATCTCAAACTGACTAGGTTAAAGGGGAGTAGTCTGTCTACACGAAAATAAAACCTGTCAACGGCCAGTGGGAGTACAATTATTTTCTGGATTTACCTCGGAGCAGACTGAAATTCACGGCGATAGCACTCTTCTATCAGGGTAATATGTGGTTATAATGATAAAGGCTGTACAAAGTGGATTCGAATTCTCATAAGAGAGCTACTCTGAGACATGCATCCACCAACTATTATTGAGAACAAAGGTCAGGCAAATAAAGAACGAAACAAAATTATTACGCTTTGTACGATAGCATTTTTAAATTTGGATGGAAATACCCAATGATTACAATTATAATTGACACTATTTTTGAAGGTAGAAACAACTCAGGCATCGACTGTTTTTGAGCACTAAAATGAATGCCTAAAAAAACACTCATAAAACGTCCAGTCTGTCACGTCAAATTTATTCTGAAATGAATTAAATACAGTAACCATCTTATTTTTCAGACATTCATATTATAGAAAATATATAAGTGGCGATGACTGGATCTGAAAATATTATAACCTGATAGGCAAAAATACACTAAAGGAGAATTAACTGAAATCATTTAAAGTGCTTAGGGATCGGTTTCTTTGATTTATGTATAGAACTTTGCGATCGCTATCAACATATGAAGATTGCCTTGCGGTTATTACAGAGTGCTCGCTAAAAGCCGTGCCGAGAAATACTCTTTATAGCGGAGCCGAAAGTAAAGCGGACGGTGTTCCACGCTGAATCGGGCTGAAGTTGATTTATATTATATTTTTCAGACGTTTATCCTAAATAGCGGTTGTACGTGAATTTAAGGCTATGGACAGAGATTTTTTAAATACTTTTAATTACAAAATTTTGATCAGCGCCGTTCGGAATCAGCTTTTCGCTTTATGCGGTTTTCCAATTGAAAAATTTTCAAAATTAGGTATTCACAGTCTAGTGAATTCCATAACGCAGTGTAAAACTAAGTAAAACTATGTATGTAATGATTCCCATTGCAAACATTAAAGACATTAAAAGTGTTTATTACCCAGATTTTCACCGATGACTGATCAGATGGAGCTCCGAAGTAAGCGAACTGCAATTGGTCAAGGTGCAGGCAGTAAGTCAAAATAGAATTCTGCGCACATTGGAAGAAATGAATAAAAAATATTTCTAACTAAAAAGTAAAAGTTAAAACGGTCGAAGAACAAGAAGCGTAATAGAGTCTTGTAATAAAACTAAAAATATAGATCGTCAAAAAAAAAAAAAATGNTTATAGCAAGACTCTATTACGCTTCTTGTTCTTCGACCGTTTTAACTTTTACTTTTTAGTTAGAAATATTTTTTATTCATTTCTTCCAATGTGCGCAGAATTCTATTTTGACTTACTGCCTGCACCTTGACCAATTGCAGTTCGCTTACTTCGGAGCTCCATCTGATCAGTCATCGGTGAAGATCTGGGTAATAAACACTTTTAATGTCTTTGATGTTTGCAATGGGAAAAAACAATAATGAAAAAAATTTTTTTTCTACTATTATTATAAAATATGGGATTTATATTCAATCAATATCTCAATAAAATAAAATTTAAGTAGATCAAAAATAAAAAATAAAAAACTGTTAAGTAATATTTTTTGAATTAATTATACCCTGCACCCATCCTAACGATTAATATATGTATACATATTTTCTATTCTAGATCTTCACACAAAATTTGGAGTCCTTTCTTTGCCACCCAGATGCAGGATATATTTGGATGTTTGTTTAAAATCTGAGAATTTGAGTTTCTGAAAATAAATGTAAGTGATCTGTAACTATCGATTAAATTATAATTCTTATATCCATATTTCTTTACTAAGTGCATCTAGAAACAAATTGGAAGGCGAATCTTTAACTTTCGCACGAAACCTAAATAAAAAAAGAATTAATGAAAAACACTTTGCACTTTTGCACAAAAATTTAGATTGTGAATTTTTTACTGATTTTCTGAGCGCTGTGGAAATGTTTAAAAAGCAATTTGAAATCCGCGGAATACAGTTTTGAGTATTTTTTTTTTGTTAAGATTGAGCAATCCCAAGGAATAATGCCAAAGAAAAAATGAAAACCTTGCAAGTTTTTAGACTTTTGGCTCGATCTATGAACTCGGAATTTTACAGCATGTCTAGAAGCACTAACTAATTAATCACCTTTAATTTCTTGTTTTTATTGTAATCTTTTGTTCTTTATCGGGAAATTAATTGGAATAAAAAACTAAACTAAATTTTATTATTGCGGTCGCCCCTCGGTAGAGAACGACCACCTCTCCGAGTGTATGTATTTTGGACATGAAATAAAGGCTCCTCGTAAAAAACCATCTCCCGTCATCCAGGTGTTTTTTATCCACTGAATTGGAAATAAAAATAAGTGGTTTGAATAAAAATTAATTAATTATATAAAGGACGATTTTTTAATCAAGTGGAGAGAGAGAGAGCCAGTTTTCCCAGTAAGAACAACTATGTCAGCAGTAACGTGCCGAATATTCTCTTCAATGGTGAGAATCGTATCGGGCTTAGACACATCACGGCATCACATAACCCCACAAAAAATAATCCAAAATCATATTATTTCAATAAATTTATTGTTGAATCCAAAATCCTTCCGCTAAATTTTCCGTGGACTCATTAGGCTCTTCTTTGATACCCCGCTCCACAACAGTGTATTCGCTGCCTACTGTGCGACGACGTCTCTGAGAATGCGCTATCTGTGGTTGCTTGAATTATCGACGCTGCTGAGCGAATTTGTCGACCGAATAATGGGCGCATCGAATCGAACCATTATTTTAGCAATAAATTTGCAAACATTGTTTCGAAGTAAGACTGCTCATTATGGTTTGCCATTATGTCTAGTAGTAGAGAGTTCTACTTGGGGAATTTTTCAAAATACAGACAGTTGAAATCGGAATGATAACATAATTATTGATGCCAAACTGTTTTTGCGTTTTTTTTTCAAAATCTGTTGATTTGTTGCACCGAAGTGAGCGTTAGGTGGCCGGCCTCGAAGCTTTGGTTGCTTGAAGACATCTAGAAAAATCAAAATAATTATTGTTCTCTGAGCTTGACATTCTGGTTGGAATTAGGATTAAATAAATACTTGAAAAACAGAAAACGGGTTGACTTTGAAAAACAGTGACAATTTTTTCAACTAGAAATCGGGATGTAAAATGGAAAGTTAACGATTAAAAAAAGGGAGGATCGATTAGATATATGTATATACCTTCGTCAATATTTTTCTTATTTCACTCTAAAAAATTTTCACTGTATTTCATGTATTTAGTATTTTCGAAAAAAAGTTGATTTTGCAAGATTAAGAATCGGGATGTAAATTGGAAAGTTAGCGATAAAAAGAGAGGATCGATTGGATATATGTATCATTTATACCTTCAACAATATTTCGAATTTCATTCTAAAAAATTTACGAGTATTTCATATATATAGTATTTTCGAAAAAAAAAAAGTTGATTTTGCAAGATTAAGAATATCCTCTCAGCAACCACAACCTGGCATTACATACATTGTTTTGTGGCTCATTTGGGGGGCACTGCTGTCTAGCAAATTAAAAATATCGAAAAGCAGATTTCATTATACCAAAAAAAAAAAAAATATAATCTCATTACTTGCCTTCAACATTACTGGCTTTCATCTCTTTGAAGTAGGCAGTGTGGTGTGCGAGCGATGATTCCACTTCACGACCATCACATTTGCATTCAACGAGAGCCTTTCCTATCCAATTGAATCGTTGATACAATTCAGTTAAACTCAACAAAGTCAACAGGCAACGATAACATTTCTTTCGCTAACAAGAATAATTAACACAACGAAATAAAATCGTTTCGTTTCAGCATGATATTTGCGAAACGAAATGAAAATGTTAATTTGGAAACCGCACAAACTCATCCTTAACTATATTATGCTATTAACAGCACAATTTTGACGTTTAAAATTATCTGTTAACGATTTAACATTAACAACAGCTTTTCATTTTGGGTCAAAACGAGATAAATTTTATTTTAATTACTGCTCTAACACAATAATACTTCCAAATGTTTCAACCGTAACGAATTTTATGCAGTTTGCAATGAAACCTTAATATGCTCACAAGTCAGCTGTTTTTCACACTTTGTTGGGGCCGAAATTTTCCCAGCTCTAATTTGCAACAGCGCCTCCAAACTAATTCACAAAATTGCTACTTCAACATTCTCGTTGTAAATTTTACTGGCTTTTTGTCTCATCGAATGCGGTTCGGTGAAATTCAGTATCACTTGTTACTGCCCATCAGGTCACCGAACAGAACGATAATCTGCTGCATATCCCGCGAGTGCGATATATTTACGTACGAGAGTATGTATGAATGTATGTAGTATGTATGAGTTGTCGGCACAAACAAAACGCCTGCCGCTGGCAGCCAAAGCAATTTTCCACTGCGCGTGCAATAATCGGCGTCATTGCGTTCTCTTTTTTGTGCCAATTTTATAAATTTTTTCTGCATATTTGCGATTTTTTATTTTTATTTTATTTATTTTACTTTTAGTGTTTTGTTCTCTTTTTTGTTTGCTAAATTGTTATATGTTGCAAGATGCAGTGTTGGGCCGCTGCTGCTGCTGCTGCTGTTGTTGTTGCCAATGATTGCATATCCGCACGTTTGGCCATTCAACGAAAACTGGTCAGTTGAAAGGTGTGTATGTGTGTGTGTCTAACTTGTTGCTGCAACAGTAATTCATACGTATGTATGTATATATATATATTATATACATATGTATGTGCACAAGCACTTGCAAGCTGCGACACCCAGCGTGACTGGGAAACGATCATTGGAATGCCCTCAGGTAACAGCAGCAAGAGCAACAGCACCAGCGACAGCGACAACAGTGGTCTTTGTTGAAATTGAGTGCATTTTTAATAAAATATGCCTATACATACATATATTAATGTATATATGTACGAAAAGCATGTTCTCTCTGGCATTCATTGTTGTTTTCTTAACCACAATTTGTTTTCATATAAATCTTGATATTTTTTCATTATTATTATTTGTTTTTTTTTTTTTTTTTCCTTTTTTTGTGGTCAACATAATGTTGACCCACTTCTTGGTGACTGCCGCCAATGCGTGCACTGCGAACTCTTTTTGGCAATTGCCAAATCCATTTTTGGCTAAATATGCGTTTTCGTAGCTGGTTTTGTTTATTTAATCGTTGTTATTGTTGTTTTTTTTTTTTTGTTAAGAGCAGTAGGCGCTGCACTTGTTTGTCGTTTACAGTTTTTTCCGTTGCTATTTCGGCTTTTTGCTCTAGTCGACTGCGCTTTTGGTGAATTTTGCAATTCACATTTGATTTATTTAGTTTCGGAATTTTTTGAACCGGATAAGTCGCCGCTGCTTTTTCAACCAAAACTTACTCGCTTTTATGTGGCTGCATTGCATTTGGCTTAAAGTTGTATTTGGGTTAGCCTCTTATGAGTTTATGTAAAAAATATATGTTTATGTATGTATGTATGTATATATAATAAATACATTTACCCACATATTAAATTTATTATTATTAATTTATTTTTTTTTTTTTATTCTACAAAGCTGTCGTGAGAACTTTTAATACTCAAAAATATGCAAAAAAATAACAAAATAAAACAGGCATTTAATGAATTGATCTTATATAAAATATAAGAGTACATATGAATTAGTAACATAAAATATGTAGATGCGAATTTTTGATTTGTCGAAAAAAAAAATTCAAATAGTAAACTGTAAAATTTAACTTTAAAATATTATTATTATCGAAATTGTAAATGTATTTATTTATTTGTATTTTATATATTTATAAAATATTAATTTGGGATATTCTACAAAAAGTATATTTAAACCGCTAATGTTTAGTTTTAAACCAATTTCTGAAAATGTTAGAATGTGGAAATATTCTTAGAATTTGGCTTGAGGCTCTTTTATAAGGGAAGCCAGACTAACTAAGTAAAGTTGCATGAAGTGGAATTCGATTTTTACCTCTGATTTGACAAACAATATTGAGCTCAATTTCCTAAACAAAATAAAAATAATGGATGAGTTTGCAAGCAAAAACCTTAACAGGATATATTATGCGGGGATTATTACTCTTACATATACTCGTACTATTTCAGTGTTTGTCCAAAGAAAAATTTAATTTTTTGATACAAATGACCGGATGTTTATTTCAATGGAAAGAGGAAGACATGTCATTAATCTTAGAAAACAATGTCAACCGAATGGCTACCACGCCTACGCTTACAGGATCCAATCCTTGGCTGCAGCTTGTGCACAATAGCTGCAGGTCGTCGGACTGTTCGCGTAGACCTTATCTTGCACATGAATCCAAAGAAAAAAGTCGCAAGGTGTTAAATCAGAAGATCTTGGTAGCCAATTGTCAAGTCAATTTCGAGCTTCGAAAGATGTTTATGTGGCACGTAGCGTGCAAACGTTCTCAATTACGGTCTTAACAAATCATTAATCATCTCTCGATAGCGTGGTCCATTCACCGTAACTGTTGCTTCCACCTCATTTTCGAAAAAGCAATTGCAATGACCCCACCTGACCATGAGCATGGAGAGGCTTTTCAACAATAAATCTTGAGCAATTTGTTTTTGCGGCCAAGCTATGCATATAATAATTTTTGATATAAGTACTAAGTAAATTACTCCACTAAAACTCTTGAGTTTTCTGAGCCCCAGATGAGAGATTTTGCTTATTGACGTAGCACTCAAGGTGGAAATGCAATTTTTCGATGAAATTCTAAATTACTTTCAAGCATTTCATGGACCCAATTAGCATTGTTGATGATCGGCCGGCTTGAGTTCTTGTGCTAACTAAATTTTATAAGCCTTCAGACCAAAGTCTTTATGCGAAATACAGTGTAATGATGTTTGCGGAATGCCGGATTCCAAAGAATGACGAAGAGTGGACAAATCTGGATTTTCTTGAACACTTCTTCAATACAGGAACATTATGTTCAGTTCTTCTTGAGCGACGTGCACGAGCTTTATTCTTCACATCACTAACTTTTACCAACTGCTCCATTTGGTGGAAATTTTCTGTATTGCAGTCCGTCTCGGTACTTCAAAATCACCGTTAAATGTTTTTTCTGCCAGGATTTCACCATTTTTATAGTGAATTTTATAAATTTCAGCACGTTTTTAAAGCGTCTGTCGTTTCATTTCTATTACTGGCATAGTTTTTACTTGTTAAAATGTCAAAAAATTACAATTTCAGAAGTGACATAAGTGACATCTACCGGAATAGCAGGCTTTTCCTTATAGGAAAAGGCTACACCTACTTTTAACAGAAGCGAACGCAACTTCACCCATTCACAATAGTAAAAAACTGATTGCATTCGCATCTGCATTAAGCAGAGAAAAATTTACGAGTTAATGCAAATAAAGACGTCTTATGCAGATATTACTCGTCGTATATAAGCAACCCGAATAGGCGAACGGTTTTCTTGATAGAGGATATATACTACGGGCATTATCTGTACAAGACGACTTTATTCAATAATTAGCTTTTTTCTTCTGATGTACGATTTAAGCCACACAAACCCATCAGTATGTGTATTATGCGCCTGAGTCAAGCCAATACTTAATTACCATATAAAATTTTCAATTTTCAATTAATAAAAAAAACCATGCTTAAAGTATAAAAGCACTTCTTTTAGCTTAAATAAAATTTCCCGTGAGTCCATAGTCTTCCATGCTGGGTGAATTCAACTCCTTGTAATGGCTAGCCAACGACCACCACCTGACTACATAGTAACTGCTGCAAAAGCAAACTGCAGCAATAACTCAACAATCGCGTAAATTTTCACATGCATTCATTTATACATAGTTAATATGTGTGTATATTACTCTCTTAGGTATACGCTTTAATGCAAAATAATGACCAGTGCACAGCGTCAGCAAAGAGATAAAACGTAATCGGCGGCCACGAAAAAATTCCAAGACAAGTGAAAACCCTTTAAGACGAAAACGAAACGAAAACAAAAAGCAAATAAATGAATGTTGGTAAAAATGTTGAATGAATAGAAATATGTATGTATGTATGTAGCTTTTGTATATAAATAAATGATATTATTTGTACTCGTATATATTTATATATATGTATGTATATATGTGAGTATATTTGTAAATACAAATAATTGCAATTTTGGCAAGCAACTGAGACAAACATGTCTGCATACATATATTATTACTCATTTACATGCACACATTTGTACTAACCAACTGCAAGTGTGTACTTAATATATATATATTTTTTTTTTTTTGCATAAATATGTGAGTGTGAATGAACTCTTGCCATAAATACTCGGCAAGTTGCAAAGCCTTATGTAAATAAAAATTGAAAGTTAATCATAAAAAAAATCAATAAGCAAGCAATGGTTATTTCAAATATGTAAAAAATACAGATTTTTGGCTGGTATTTCTGCAAGATTTTATGGTTTTTACCTTTTTTCATTGAAATTATACTTGAATTTTTATAACTTTTAGAAATAAATATTTTATTTTCAGTTTCTGTTTGAACTTATATTAAAACTTATAAGAATGTTACCCATAATGTGCTATATATACTTTGAACTAACAGTCAATTCTTTTTATGTCATTACCAAATATGTGACTCGTGTCTTTGAGTATCCTCAAGAATGTACCTTTACCTCGGACGGCGCACACTGGGGTAAAAGTGATCGAAATACGCCCATTAGAGCACAAATTTTTGTTGCCTTTTCTTATTTAACATAAATCAGGACATCAGAAAAGCTTTATCGCGATGAAGTCGAAAATCGCATTCCAGAGAAATGACCACTCAAAGTTGGGCAATCTAGAGTTGAATTTTTGTGTTTGAAAATTTCTAATTTTTTACTGTACAAAAATGTCTGTGGAAAATACATTTGTGGCACTTAAACATTAATTTAAATAATTCCTTGTTAATATATTTTTCGAGAAATTTTTAGTTGAGAAAATATAAGCGTTCAAACTTCTTGCAAAAAAATGACTTTTTTTGGAAAAAGTAAAAGTTTTCTTTGGACCAAAACTTTTTTTTACTCAGTGTAGATCAAGGAAACATTTTCTTTGCATAAGTCGGAGCTTTTGTAAAGCAAATGATGTCGAACTTATCTGCAGTGTTCTGCATTGTAATGCAATATTTCAATTTGAATTTACGTCTTCAGACCCAAATTTTATGAAACTTTCTTGGTATAAACTTCAAAATTAAAAAGCGATCCTTGAACCAATTGCAAATATATCTATTTGGAGCTTTGGCATTGATGAAACGATTTTTGACCAAGTTCCTGAGTCAATTTGTGGTTTGCGTCTTATTGTTTTGCCAACAAATTGATGAACCTACGGTTTATACTAAGCCGCCTCCGAACGGCTGACGGTTTTTTATGAGGAACTTTTATTTCATGTCAAAAATACACTGGGAGGGCTCGACAAGCCATGAGGAGGGAGGATTTTAATTATAAAAATTAATTTGTTGTTGTTGGTCAGACCTTTGCTCGAACCCTGGACTTCCGAAGGGGAGTAAGCAATGCTAACCATTTGGCTATGGCATAAAGATTTATCTGCATATAATATTTTATATATAGCGTAATTTTTTGACGACCCTAACCTCAAATTTAATATCTGAGAGGTCGGTTATAAAAAGAATTTATAAGAAGGTCTTCCGATTTCGATGGTTTTCAGTGTAATTACTAATTTTAAGCAATCTATATAGCGTGTCAAACTTGGCGCTCTTCCAAATTTTTTGGCAGATTTATAATCCAAACTCTAAAAGACGATTGAAATTATGTATAATATAAAAGTATCAAATATTCTGCTTAATAAATTCGTTTGAAATATCTACAAATCTGACTGAGTAATTTGCGTCCAAACGGACGGAAAAACAGGCAGACTGACCGGCTAGGTGTTCTCCTTCTTATTAAAAATAAAAAATCATACAATAGAAGAAGTTATTCGTTAAATTTGACTAGAAAAAAATAAATTTGTTTTAAGTTTTACGAAGCTTTTCAGGGAAAAGAGAGAAATCCGCAAAATTTAAGTTGCCATAAAAAATTTTTCACGTTTCATGGACTTTGAAAATTATGGTATTTTGTATGTACCTCAATCAGTTTCAAAATGTGGAATATTTGCATTTTCTTTGGAATATGAAGTTTTGTAAGAAAACTTAGTTTCCGGCTGTAGGGTGCACATCCCAGGAAGCGTAAATATAAAAATTTGTATACCATTTCATTCCTTGAACAATCTTTAATCAAATGTCAGTTTGTACTTCAGTATTGACGTATCCACTCATTACTAGCCGAGCATTTTGAAGCAAACCGTGTGCCGATATCTGCTATATATAGCTCATGACGAATATCACATGAACGCCATACTAACTTTTGAATCTCTCTTTCTAGACTTCTTCTTCTTTGACATGGGCACCGCCTATTCTATTATATCCGAATCAAGTGCGCCATTTGGTTTTTCTCTTCGCTCTTTAGCGACAGTTGAAAATATCAAGTGAAACCTGGTCGCTCTCTATCTTATACTTTGAACGTAGTGTAGGTCTTCCTCTGCTTGTGTAGTGTTTGGAGAAAGACTTTACTTTTTAATTGCCTACTCAATGTGATCGGCATACGCCAGCTGTTTTATACTCTTATAAAATATTGTACCTTGTCTATTTAGCTATGTAACTCTTGCTGTGTTCTCCAGCATCAAATTGAAGAAATTGCACAATAAAGAACCACCCTCTGACAGCGCTTCTAGTGTTGTACAGCGTTTGTTTACATTGCCATATAAGTGGTGTCGAAGTAAGCTTTAAAGATTAGGAAAACCTGATCTGTATCGATTCTATTCTCACGGGTCTTTTCCTAGATGTGACGCGTGCTGAATGCCTGGTCAATTGTCAATTAAAAAACCACACTGATAAGGTTCAATCAGTTTGTCGGCAGTGGGTTTCAGTTTTTTACACAATATGCGCGATAGAACCTTAAGACATTTAACAGGCTTATTCCACCGTAATTGGCGTATGCCGTGACATTCCACTTTTTATAGATTGGACAGCGCACACTTAGGTTTCAATAGTCGGGCATGCTTTTCTCCGACAATATATTGGAAAGAAGCTGATGCATGCACCTTCACAGCTCTTCACCGAAATGTTTAAATAGCTCAGTCAGTAAGCCATCAGCTCCAGCCGCTTTGTTCTTGTTTAAGCGGGCAATCACTTTTCTAACTTTTTCGTAACCAATCCTCGATTGGGGTTTTGGTTTCGTCGTCTCCAGTTATTGCATTTTCACTGCCATTCAGCAATCCGGGGGAGTGTTTTCACCATACACCAAGTATGGTCTGGAAATCGGTCATCACATTTCCAAATTGATTCCTTCATGAGTAAGGTCTGAAACGTACTCTCTATTACAATTTATTTATTTGATCTCTTTTATTTATCTTTCTCCAAGTAAACTTTCTTAGTACTTAGTAGTTCTCCTTCTTAACTCTTAAATTGATTTTTTCAAATGAAAAATATATTTTTGTTTTCATAAATTTAGTAAAAACTTAAGAGTGGCTGAAACCATCGTCAAAATTTTTCTTTAATCTTTATTGCAAAATTTTTAATGATCTTTAGATTGTTACCTATGTTTTAAATTATAATTTTCAAATACATTTTGCAAATAGTTGGTAACGATCCCGAAATATATCTTCCACTTTAAGCCTCACCGTCAGAATAATATCATCAATGCTATTATTTCAATTATTGTTATTTTTATAAAATAAAATTTTTAAACAGATGGCATTTCTCCTTCCTTTTCCTATTAGCTGCAATATCTAAACCACAAAAAATCGTCGACCAATTTAAAAAGTGTCCATTTTATAGCTCCATTTAAAATATGTATGCCCAAACATATTTCTAAAAGAAAAATTTAAAAAACCATTACAAAAGAAAGTTTGATGTTTCTTCTTGGAAGTAAATTAAATGTTATTTTTAAAGGTAAAAACATATTTTATTAACTCCCAAAAACTATCCATGATAATCAACAAACTTTGCGCTCAAATTACTTTCATTTTACCATTTTTCCAACCAACAAAAAGCAAAAAAAAAATTTTTGAATAAACAAAGAAAATGTATTTAAAATTTTTACAACCTTTGTTGTATTAATTTGAATCAAGAAAGCTTCTTAAGGTATATATATATATATATATAATTGCCACTTTGTAACCACTGAAACGAGCTCCTATCCCAATTTGTATCTTTTGCATTTTGATGTTTTCCAACAAATGGAGGGACCTACAGTTTATACTAAGACGCCCCCAAACGGCTGATGCTTTTTTTATGAGGCGCTTTTATTTCTTGTCAGAAATACACTCGTAGAGGTTGGCATTCCCTGCCGAGGGGCGATCGCAATTAGAAAATTTAACTTAATTTTTTATTTAAATTAATTTTCTATAACTTTTGGATGTCTTTCGTACCAGGACTTGAACCCTGGCCTTCCGATTGGTAGTAGGCAATGCAAATCACTCGGTTACCTCGGTCGCCATCTGCATGTGTACCTGCAAACAAATAAACATATTCAGATTTTAGAATCTTTTGCTGCACTTTAACTATAAGTAAAAATTTTTATCGATTTATGTCTAATCTAATCTGCTATGTGGTAATAAGGATTGCGTCGAGATATCTCTCATTAATACTATTTATTTAAAATTGGACATTATATAAGAAAAATTTTGCAATTAATTTATGCCAACATTTTTTAACAGGAAATCTATGTTTTGAACAGATAAATACCAAATTTTGCTGATTGTTGTGTATTATTAATTTAAATTATTTGTTAGCCAAGAGAGGGGCAAAGTAAAAAGTTGTGATCGTCACCTTTCAAATTATCGTTATATGAGAGATGGAAGTAACTTTGACACTAGTTATCCGGTACATAGGTGGGCGTGGCTAAAATAAAGCGTCCATCCATGAAGTTTAAATTTCTTATGGTCCTATCTATCCCGATTATTTTATGATATTGCAAAACAACCGTTAGTT